GTGTGGGGGTGCTTAGCGAAAGTACAAATACCCAAACCTAAACAAGTTAGGATTGGACCAAAGACAATTGATTGTGTCTTTATTGGATATGCTATCAATAGTAGTGCATATCGATTCTTGGTTCACAAATTCGAAGTACTTGATGTACACGTAGGTACAATTATTGAATCAAGAAATGCGGTCTTCTTTGAAGACAATTTTCCGTATAAAGAAAAGGAAGTATGTTCAAATAAACGAACTTATGATAACATACATGGAAAGAATGATGATCTTCAAGTAAATGAAGAACCGAGACGTAGTAAAAGGCAACGAATTCCAAAGACATTCGGTCCAGAATTCGTAACCAATTTACTTGAAAATGATCCTAGGACATTTGATGAAGCAATGTCCTCTCCCGAAGCTCCTTTTTGGAAAGAAACTGTACACAATGAAATTGAATCCATCATGAGTAACCATACTTGGGAATTGGTTGAACTCCCTCCGGGAAACAAAGCTTTAGGCTGTAAATGGATCTCCAAAAAGAAATTGAAGTCGGATGGATCAATTGATAAATATAAGGCTAGATTAGTAGCCAAAGGGTATAGACAAAAAGAAGGACTAGATTTCTTTGATTCCTATTCACCCGTTACAAGAATTACGTCTATACGTGTCTTGATTGCAATCGCAGCATTGCATAATCTTGAAATACATCAAATGGATGTCAAAATCGCGTTTCTAAATGGTGAATTAGAAGAAGAAATCTACATGGAATAACCTGAAGGGTTTGTTGCACCAGGAAATGAAAAGAAGGTGTGTAGACTTGTAAAATCATTGTATGGATTGAAACAAGCACCGAAACAATGGCATGAAAAGTTTGATAAAACTATGTTGTCAAATGGCTTCAAAATCAATGAATGTGACAAATGTGTCTACATTAAAAACGCACCTAATGAATATGTAATCATATGCCTATATGTTGACGATATGCTAATTATGGGAAATAACTCCAAAGTCATTTCCTCGACTAAAAAAATGTTAACAAAACATTTTGACATGAAGGATATGGGAGTGGCGGATGTAATATTAGGGATTAAAATCTCTAAGACATCCGATGGTTTGTCATTGTCTCAATCACATTATGTTGAGACTATACTTAAGAAATTTAAGGCGTATGACGATAAACCGGTTAAGTCACCAGTTGACTTAGGTATTTACTTAGCCAAGAATACTGGTGAGCCCGTATTTCAATTGGAATATTCGCATGTTATTGATAGTTTAATGTATATTACCAACTGCACAAGACCGGATATAGCATACATAGTCAACAAGTTGAGTAGATTCACTAGTAATCCAAGTGTTGTACATTGGAATGCATTAAACCGAGTTCTTAGATATTTAAGACACACGGTTGAATATGGATTACACTACTCAAAATATCCTGCGGTATTAGAAGGATATACTGATGCAAATTGGATATCTGACACTAAGGATTCAAAATCCACGAGTGGTTATGTATTTACCATTGGAGGTGGAGCCGTGTCCTGGAAATCGTCTAAGCAAACATGTATTGCTCAATCCACGATGGAATCTGAGTTTATTGCGTTAGACAAAGCCGGTGAAGAAGCAGAATGGCTTCGTAATTTTCTTGAAGAAACTCCATGTTGGGAAAAGCTGATTTCTGCGATTAATATACATTGCGATAATCAGTCGGCAATAGCAAGGGCACAAAACAGTATGTATAATGGTAAGTCTCAACATATCCGTCGGAGACATAATACCATTAAACAGTTAATATTGAATGGTATAATCTCTATTAACTATGTGAAGTCAAAAGAAAATTTGGTTGATCCTTTGACGAAAGGACTTGCAAGAGATCAAGTATACCATCTTTCGAGGGGAATGGGCCTAAAGCCTATTGAATAGAATTACTATGACGGAAACCCAACCTTGTAGATTGGAGATCCTAAGATCTTGGTTCAATGGGACAACTAAGTCATAAATGATTCGGAATAAAGCACTTATTCCCATTCCTAAAATTTAAAGTGCTATGTAAAATGTGTATAAGGATAAGTATACATATATACTTTTAATGATTCATAACCTTGAGATAGAAAGGTATGAGATCACCTATATAAGTGTGAAGTGGGGCCGTTTCTACAAGAATTCGAGGCTTAATTCTCTTAGAGCACTTATGAAACCAAGAGTTGTCCAGGGCCAAAATGGACTCAACCATGAGAACCGGAAATGTTAGATGAGTCATGGTGTTGGTACAGTTGTTTGGTTTTACACGAACGGCTGGATGGTTCAAGACATCGCGTTCACCAACTAGCCTAGTAAATCCGATTGTATTCAACTAAAGAAGGTTCAAGGCCACAAGCTACCTATCTTGATACTATGACTTGTCGTGTGTACTCCATTTGTTAGAGTCTGCATTTCATTTGCATTGCATTCGCATTGTGTTGCGCATATCGAGGAATTTCCATTCATGTGGGGGATTGTTGGATATTGGTTAAATAAATCGAGAATTGAAAATCGATTAAAGTGATTTCGTATCGACTTCGGCCAAATACTCAAAAGCTCGACTCAATTTTGCCTAAACAATTTCTCTGCATGTATTGAAGGGTATATTTAGCATTTCGAAAATCAATATCGGATGAATGAGAAATTACGAAAAAAGGACGAAAATCAGGTCAAAATATTTGACTGTGCGACCGCATAGTTGGTAAACCGCGCGATCACACGTCAAATCCAATTCCCATTTTTTGAGTAAAACCGTGCGACCGCACGGTTGTCCGGTGAATAGACACCTTTTCATAAAGGTGCATTGTTTGGAAAGGGTGCATGGTTTGGCCTCAACCATTTCGTCCACACCCTTTCATGGTCTATAAATAGGACCCTTTGGGTGTCCTATTCCTCACAATTTGATATGCAAAACATCTCTCATCCTCTCTTCTATCCAAAATCAAAATCATTTCATTTATTTTGATTTTCCTTCATTTCATCTTTGAAGTACATAAGCCTAAATTTGGTTCGTTGTACTTGTGTTTTGGAGTGCTACAAACACAAGTGTAGCCGTTGTATCTTGGAAGTTGATTGCCGAAATCCGTAGGCACCGTTGCGGGGCAAATTCGACTTAAGGACAAAGAGTCCAACTCTTGCCTCGGTTTTGTCCCTACTTTCTTCTTCTTCTTGTTTGTGTTTTCTTTGCCGTTACTCAGTCCAATTTTCGGCACGGATTTACAAACTATCATTATACTTATTTTGGCGTCACTATTCACAAAATTCCTCCAAAAGTAATCAAGCCAGAAAATCAAAATTATACGTCGCTTACAAGATAAATGTGATGTTCCTAGATTTAAAGCTAGGATTGTAGTAAAAGGGTACTCAGAAAGACTAAGTTTGGACTTCAATTAAGTTTTTTTCCGTAGTTGTCAGAGACACCTCCATCTACTTGCTCTAGCTGCACATCAAGACTTGAAATTGGAGCAAATGGATATAAAAATGGCAGTCCCATGGGGATTTCAAAGAAAACATCTACAGCAGCCACTAGGCTTCGTTGTCATGAATGGAAAGGAAAACCATGTGTGCCAACATGAGTAATCTTTATATGGAATGAAATGTCCTAAACAGTGGCAATAAACAAAAAGAAAAAGAAACTTGCAGGAAAAGAAATAATAGGTTATTAACCCTCTCACAAGAATGTCATTTCCAGTGCTTAATGGATCGTATCCCCTACTCTAATGCATTCGGCCGTGTGATGTATGGAATAGTTTGCTCAAGCCCCAACTTTGCACGTCAGGTTTTTGGGTTCTCCACGAAAAGCTCGGTTGATCGCTTGATCACCTTGAATTGGATTAGAAGATACCTCAGAGGAACCTAGAAACATAATCTGCTGTATGGAAAGGACAACCAGAGCAGCCAACTATCACAAGGTATACATGAGCAGATCAGTTTTTTGTTCATATTTTCGTACTTTGGGATAGCACTCTTAATTGGAAGTCTAAATCCACAAAATGATGTGCCTGTCTTCGATTAAAGCATAATACGTTGTCCATTGCTGAGGTAGTGGGCAAGGGAACATGGTTGAAAGGAATGATAGGAGATATACTGGAACTGAACCTTATACATTGCTCAAGTACGATAACCAATGGTCTATATAAGTTATCCAAAGCAGTGGTCCTAAGCATACAAGTCCTAAAAGTCTAATGCATGCCATGTTCATAACTTCGGAAATAGATTAAACAAATAGGAGGAGTTGTTATCCACATTTCCAAAAATCAGCCTCATCATGAAAGAACTAAGTAGATACTTGAGTTGAGGCAACATATTAGAAGAAAAAAGATTGATGAAGGTCTAGTCGAAATGAGGAAAAATATCGAAGCTACCATTGATAGATGCCAAATGCACTAGTATTCTAATTAGAAGTCACCAATACTATGAATAAATAAGATAATCCGTCACGTTATTGTAAAAGAAAATATTGTACAAGCTTATTGAGTGAATTGTCCACCTTTAATCACGACCAATGCACAATTATTTGGGTAATAAATTATGGGTATATCTTCGTCACATAAGTAGCTGGCATGCATAATTCAAAATTTCGTGTGCAAACCATTGGATCATCTATTTTATTTATTTGTACGATTGAAAAATATGTTAATACTTGCAAGTAGATCTAACTTCAATGACATTAATCTAACAATACTATTATCGATCCCACGGCACAAAACAAGGTTATAATTGTCTTTTCAAGGAAGTATGTTTGACTTTTAGCGGCCAAATAATAGAATATATCTTTAGGGATCAATGATGTTACAAAATCAATAGATTGTGGACTATGACCAAGTTACTATAAAGACTATAGGTATAGGTTGGGGACCAAAGCTACAATTTTCAATGAAGTTCTATCGTCTTTAATTTTCAAAAAGTGAATGCTGCAATTTGAACCACCAACCTTTGCTCCAAGCAAGAATTGATTCTCCATTCATTCTAAAATTGTAATTATTAATAATAATTCGTAGAACGAAGAATAATTTCCTCTATCATTGATTACAGAATCAAGGCATTTCTTTACACATTCATACACAAACAATTTGGGGAAAATTTCTCAGCAATTTATATACACACAATCAATGACTATCCACAATTCAAAATTTTCAGTCTCTATCTGTATCGAAATGGGGATTACACTCTTTAGAGTAAAAATCGTTCTTCTCAATCAGAGCTCTCAACATATCAACGGTAAACTCTTCACTGTTAGGATCACTCGTCGGCGACTTACTTGACGAATCATCTGTATCTTGTTTCTTCACGCACGAGAAACACCTATCACCACCCTCAAAAACCCTTTTGACCCAACACCCAGAATTGATTCTCTGCTTCCTTTTCTGATGCAATTTCTTCTTGCTTTTCTTGAATCTAAAGAAAGCCTTCTTTTTAGCCTTTCTGCAGTTTTCCTCTTTTGGATCGCCAATTTCTGTGGACCCAACACCGCCGTCTTCCTTTTCATCTCCTCCGCTTCCACCACCACCACCACCAACACCATTTGGTCGCTCTTTATCAGCCATTAAAATTTAAATATAATGTCACCGTTATATATTATAATATAGAGGACCACACAGATGGCAGAATGTACCAGATGAATATGAACAATTAAAGGGTTTATGTAATATAATAAGGTTTCTACGAATATTAAAAACAGTACGAAGAGATTGAAGAATTGGGATTTTTGAATGAGTAATGGTATTTAGTTTATTGAGATTACAATTACAGTCTAACTGACGTTAATGTGGTATTAAATGATAAGTGAAATTGAATAAGTCATTTAATTTCACATTTCATTCAACCTTCATCTAGAGCCATCTAGATTGGTATTGTAACATCAGTGGGTTGCATAGCATTATTCTTTTTAAATGGACTAGAAAACGAACGCTTTAGAAGCGATTGTTGTTGTCGTCAACACCAAAATTGTTGGCTCCAAATCATGGCTTGCTTGAGAGGTGCAAAATTTATTGAATTTTTTAATGTTTTTATTTCTTTATTTATTGATCATAAATATTGTTTCTTTTGAATTTAAATTTAATTCAGTATATACGTATTTTTGGGTAAATATCCAAATTTTAATTTTTTACTTAATATGTAAAAAGTTATTATTAGACCAAAAAAGTGGCTATTTGGGGGCCAATTTTATGTTATGGTCACGACAAAATAAATAGAATGAACACCTTGTGAGACCCCATAACAATCATTCATTTTAAATAATAACAAGTGGAACCATCCCTCTATAATAGAAGTGCGGTAGTCACGACATTTCGAGCATCATTTTTTAATTTAATAGGCAAATCATCAATCGTGACTCGACTCGTTTTATATTACTTTTATGATATTGTGCATTTGAGGACCTTATCGATATCAATTATCATGAACAATACTTTATAAACGTTCTTTAATCTTGTTCATCGGATCTTTCTTCAGCAAAAATTCTTTGTTATGCATAAAATATAAATTTAACAAAATTAATATAGTTTCAAGGTAGTTCATATCTTTCATTTTCAATTTTCCCAGTGGGGCTCATCACGAAAATGTTTACTACTTTGTAACTCAACACATAGACACCATCGACGGTGTGCGTATTTTAAAATTAGTAATGCTATGTAACTCTATTGGGATTGCAATCCCAATCCAGGTAGCACTAAATGATAGGTTAAATGAAATGTGAAATTAAATGAGTTATTCAATTTTGTCTATCAATTAATGTCACATTATTATTATATAGACTGGAGTTGCAACTTCAATAAGACTAAATAATATTACTCTTTTAAAATACGAATTTATCACATGGAACCTAATTTAACGTAAATAAAATGTGCGTCAACATACAAATTACTCAACTATGTTCTTATATATTCCTTTATTTATTAGCTAATTTAAGTATTGAAGTGTCATTTTTTTGTTTTATTTTGATATTCTTGAATTACTATTTGACTTCAATGGACTTCATAAAATATGCTATTCTTGATTGATCAAAATATACTTCTAATTATATACCTACTATCAAATTGTGCTGATTTTGTGAGTTTCTCTTTCTTCTTACTTTGTTTAAATTTGTATAAACGTTGGTAACCTCAAAACCCTAATACTGGATTTAGTATGCATTTATATTAATCTAATGAAACAATATACATATCTATAAGGAGCTAAAGTATTATTTGAAAATTAAACATGACTGGAAGTGTTTATCAACGGTTTAAATATAAATAAATGGAGATCAGTGGGGAGCAAGTGATATTACCTAAGAATATCTCGTAACATACGAATAAAAAGTGATTTAAGTGTTGATAAACACGAGTCAAACATAAAATTCCATTATAACAAACTATTTCATCATTATTTTTTTTAACACGTATATAAAGAAAAGAAAGTATGTTTCATTTGGACAACACTGTGTGGACCATGTCTTCAAACTAATATTCTTACTAAGCTATGAACTACAGATGATATCAATAGGAACACATACGGAGGAGATATCTTATGTTAAGGCATTTTTATTAAGATCCAAGCACTTGAATCTGTTCTTTACAAATTCGTCACTTCTAACACAAAATTTGCATAGAATTTTCAGAATTCGATAAAATTTTATTTACCTCGTAATTTGTTTTTATTGTCACTCCTCCAAACATAAGCCTATGTTCAAGTCCAATAGCATAGAGAAATGTCCATCTAGATAAGCTTGCAGGTAACATATTTTCTTGTTTATTTAAGATTGTAGCAGATGAAATCAATACAAAATTCATAAAATTAAACAAACATGTACCTACTAAGTAAACTATATATTTATAATTTTATCTAAGGTTGAGTATTAGCATAAAAAAATAAAGGGCTGGTGGAAAATTAATAAATCTTTGTTTACAGGCAAATGCTAAAACAAAAGATTGTCATGATCAAGTCAAGTTGTAAAGAGAAAAAGCATTATCTTTTCATAACCATCCTGACCCCCTCTTTAACCACTTTAATTTCTTTCCCGCCAATATATATAAAAAGTGATAAAACTTCTTTTGAAGAACAGATGCAACTGACATGACAAAATGAGGAAAGACATTTTTTTTCTTTTTACTGTGAATGCCTCAAAACTGTGGTCAACTTCATATCAAGTGTGTAATTCCCAAATAAAATGAGGAAGGGATCGCGAAAGATGTGGTGGATGGTACCTCGCAGAAGCAAAAGCAGTTTGAGAGAAGAAACTCGAATGGATATCGAGGATATACTAAAGATGAAACTTGAGACCATCAAAGAAGAACCCGAGATAGATGAGGAAAATGGAGTTCTAACTAGGCATGGGAGCATGTCGAATAAGGTGATGAAGAAGATTCATCTCAAGGTGAAGATGGGACAATTTTTTACATCTCAAATGAGCCTTAAGGAATCCTATCTGCTGTTCTTGACAGGAATAGCATCCAAAGGTGGGTTGAGTGGGCTTCCTCTATACTAATATCAAGTAACAGCTAATATCATTCAAGTGGATTACCAGATCCTATTACCAGTTGTGTGCAGGCAAATGTTTGGTAGTTTCTAAAACTTGACGTTTTGTCAACGCTGATCGGGTAAAGTTTTTACCTGCCATTAACATACTTGCAGTTTACGATTCTATTGGCTTCTCTTTGGCGCCTCCCAAATTCCTATAGAAGGTGACCACCGTAGGTTGTAGGAGGGTCGGCCAGCGTATTGGTTGGGTGCCAGAGTATCTCTTCAAGGCCTTTTGGTTTAAAAATTAACTTTTTGGCATAAGAATCGAAGTTTTATTTATGAATTGTGTTTGCTGGATGGTTTAGCTAACAATTAGTAAGGTTGTTGTTATTATTATTATTATTATTTTCTATCAATACAATATTTCGTGCAATGATGGCGCGGTTAGGTTCCCGAGCAATGCAAACATTTTGTGTCCTCGTGATTTGTTCGCGATTTCTCTTGCAAGTGTGCATCAAATTGAACGTTGAAGATAACTGGAGAAGATTAGATATGTTCATGAATCATACAGGAGATGGAAGTCTACCTTCTGATTGTAAAACGGTAAATGAAAGTTCTTTTGCATTAGGAGTCCTTTCCTTTATATAACTTTATTGCTTTCGGAGTCCTATTCATCTTTTTTTTTTTCCTTTTCACATCAGATGCTTTTTCATTTTTTAATTGAATAATGCCATAATAATTACTTACAACAATGATCCCTTAACTTTGTACCAATATTTGCTTTTAAGTCAACTTGGAAATCTTAACCTTGCTCAAATTCTTCAAAATCTTAACAGCTTATCCTAATATGTCCCTTCTTATGAATGTAATTCATCTTTACCACACATTGTCTGAGACTTTGTCAAGAGACTTGATCATTTAGAATACCACTTGGCTTTTTAATGTTGGTTGTTTCTAACAAATTAGTTGAAACCTCATTCACTGTCAAAGTCAAATCTTCAATTAATAGTGTGATCAACAATGTTTCATATAACTTAAACAAGCATCTTTTGACACAATAATTAGTGGCCAGAAGAGATAATTTAATGAATGGTCGCTTAACTTTACGATAGGTTACTACTTGCTCATTGATCTTTCAAAAATTACTTGTTGCTCATTGAATATTGCTATAGGTTACTGCTTGCTCACCGAAATTCAAAATGTTACTCATTGTTCAATTAAATTTGAATAAAACTACTCGTTACTTATTGAACTTTGCTATAGGTAACAATGATGAAAATGATATGAGTCATTGGTGGGTAATTTTGTACAGATTTGGGTGAGCAACGAGTAATGTTTTAAATTTCGGTGAGTAAGTAATAATCTATAATAAAGTTCGGTGAGCAACGAGTAACTTTTTAAAAATGGGTGAGCAAATAATAAACTATAATAAGTTCATTGACCATTAATTAAATTAACTCTGGCCAGTAAAAATAAAGTATCGCACCGTTACCGTATATGTTGAATATATACAGAGATTTAGCATCATCAAGAAAAGAAACTTTCTTTTGACACAATCATGATGAGAATTATAAAAAGATAAGGTCCATTTTAATTATGTTTAGGAGTTGTTTATATTAATTTAATTTATGAATAGATATAAATGAGTTGTGGATAAATGAGTAGTACTTATGAATTCCATGAAATATGTGGATAAAAAGTAATTTGATCAATTTTAAACATATTATAAACAAGAGGTGAACAAGGGCTTTAACAAAGAGGAGCACACGCACTAAATAAAATAAATCATACTTGTGTTAGTAGCATTGGAATTCATTTCTTTTGGTACATGGTGGAAACACCCCAGCCCAAAGATATTTAATTAATTAATTTGTACCATAATTTAAAATAAAAATAAAAATTAGAGAATCGTGCTGATTGAGTATTATAAAATAAAGGTACATCATCACCTTAGAGAGAAATATTTCTTTTAACATAATCATGATGAGAATAAAAAGACAAGGTTCACTTAAGCATGTTTGGGAGTTGTTTAGAACTTGCTCGAATTATAAATGGATATAAATGAGTAGTGTATAAGTGTACAATACTTGTAAACTCTATGAATATGTATGTAGATAAAAAGTAGTAAGATGGATAT